TGTGTGTATGCCAGTCCTGGGGCTGGAACTCAGGGCTTGGACATTGTCCCTGAGATTTTTTGCTCAAGGTAAGTGCTCTACCACTTGAGCCACAGCTCCACTACTGACTTCTGGTATTTAATTGGAGGTAAGAGTTTCACAGACTTTCTTGCCTGGGCTGGCTTCAAACTGCAATCCTTAGATCTCAGCCTCCTGAGTAGTCAGGATTACAGATGTGAGCCACCAATGCCTAACACTGTTTTTATTTTTATTCTTTGTGAAAAACCTCTGGAAATTGTTAGGACTTTCTTTTTTTTCTTTGTCCTGGTGATCCGAAATTTCACAATAATACCCACTATTGTGATATTGTTTCCACACTGGGTACTCAGTCGATCTTTTCAAGATGGGCATTCAAATTCCTTGGTTCTTTGATAATTTCCTTTATTATTTTCTCTGTTTTTATCTGGAACCTCTGTTAGTTGGAGGTTGTAACTACTAAATTCATTCTCTAATTTTCTTCTCCTTTACCTTTGTGCTTTTGGTCTATGTACATTCTAAGAGATTTTTCATTTTCTCTTCTAATCTTTCTGCAGGATTAAAAAATTATGCTTTCATATTTTTCAAGAATTTTATTTTGATCTTTTGTTGTAAAAACCTGATCTTATTTTATGTTTCCTTATCTTCCTAAGGAAATTAATTGTAAGATTTTAACTTCTCTTTGTCTCTGTAGTATTTTTGCTTCCTCCTAGTTTCTTTTTGCCTATTTGATTTGTTGTATATATTTCATATTAAGGGATTCCCTGAAATACCAGATAATTATTATTTTCTTTTTTTAATCAGTTGTGGGGCTTGAACTCAGGGCCTGAGCACTGTTCCCCAGCTCTTTTTGCTCAAGGCTAGCACTCTACCACTTTGAGCCACTTCTGATTTTCTAATGGTTAATTGGAGATAAGAGTCTCAAGGACTTTCCTGCCCAGGCTAGCTTTGAACTGTAATCTTCAGCTCTCAGCCTTCTGAGTAGCTAGGATTATAGGCATGAGCCACCAGCACCCAGCCAGATAATTCCTAATTTTTCATACTTAATAGTGAGGGGCCAATTGGATAATATATTGACTGGTGAACTTCATGTTTGGGTGAGTGGGCAGTGGCTTAGCCTTTCACTTGGAGATCCTCAAGTGCCAATATCTATAGGTCTTCTCACTTGGACAGGTCATTCAGTTGGAAAGGCATCCATCAGTCTTCTGCTTGGGTAGGACATAGGCTTAGATGGAAGCTTTGTGAAGCTATGGTTGGGGGAGATAGACTTGATATTCCTCTTGCCAGGGGTCAGATTTTCACATTACTGTGCCTCCTCTCTCTAGTCCAACTTCTTCGGAGTATACATTTCTCTGCTGCAGCTAGAATAAGAAAGGGGTAGTCATATGGCTACATAGAATTAGGAAGAACTTCCTTCCTTCCCTACTTCCTTCTCTTTCTCTTTCCTTCTCTTTCTCTCTCCTTCTCCCTTTCTTTTTCTCTCCCTCTCTTCTTCCCTCCCTCCCTCCCTTCTTCCTTCCTTCCTTTCTTTCCTTCTTTCTTTCTTTTTTCTTTCTCTCTCTCTTCTGTCTCTTTCTCTCTCTTCCTCTCTCTCATTTCTTGTCTTGGCTTTTCTTTTCTTTCTTGTGCTGGTCCTTGGGCTTGAATTCATAGCCTGGGCACTGTCCCTGAGCTTTTTTACTCAAAGCTAGTATTCTATCACTTGAACCACAGCTCTCTCTGGTTTTTTGGTGGTTAATTGGAAATGAGAGTCTCACAGACTTTCCCACTCAGGCTGGTTTTGAACCATTGTCCTCAGATCCCAGCCTCCTGAGTAGCTAGGATTACAGGCACAAGCCATTGATAACCTTATTTGTTTCTTATACAGGCTCTTAACTAATCTTTCTCACCTCATTTTTTTCTGTAGTAATTTGATATTTCTAATTTCTGGGAGCTTTCTGGGCTTCTGTGATTCACATGATCTTTACTAATTATTGATAGCCCCTTGGTAGACACTTAAGATGTAGCTTCTGCTATGTGAGTTGCTGTTCCTCTGTTGATATGCCAGTTTCAGAATATTTGACATCTTTATGACAGGTCTTTTTAGCATCCAAGAAAGATAACCTTCTGAGTAATGGATGTTACAAAGAAGAAGTCATTAGTCTGAAACAAGAGAATGATTGTGCTAGGCAATTGTACTCTCTTGAGCATGCTCATCACTCAGACGGAAAGAAGAAGGTTCAGGATTAAGAAAGGAGCACACTTCTTTGCCCTGTCTACACTCAATCTAACCTGCCAAATGTGATCATACTTAGCAGGTTGCTTGCTGTGGATTAGCATGAACCATTAGTAAATTTAAACTTGTTTCTGTGTGGGGGTGGTAATTCTGTTCTCTAAGTTGGAAAACATTTTTACCCCTTCTGATCCCGGTAACCAGCTTCCTCTGGAAATATAACCCATTCAGATGTGTGAGAGGAGCTTCATTTTCTCTCCCTGTATCTCAGCTGCAGGTGGCAGAGACTTGGGGTGTGACCATGAGTACCATGCTTCTTGGCTTTCACAAACTTTGTCAAATATTAACAGATGCATCAGCATTTCCCTAGGAAGCTGACTGCCCTTTCTACCTCCTTGTCAGAAACATGTGCTGTCAACAATGGAGGCTGTGATCGTACCTGTAAGGATACCTCAACAGGTGTTCACTGCAGTTGTCCCGTTGGATTCACACTGCAGCTGGATGGGAAGACATGTAAAGGTACCTTTCACCTGCTTAGGATGTGGGAACCCCATGCTGCTGATGTGTGGAGCAGAGGCAGCTCTTCCCCTCTGCCCCTTCTGAGTGACTCCACATTTGCCTGTGATTCATATTGATGGGAGTTTTTTCCCCCCTGGGCTGGTGGACGGTTATAATTGAGTAAGCTTAATTAGAACAAACACAATTACACTAACTGTTGAGAAGGTCAGCCTCTACAAGCATCAAATAATCCATTGCAGGCATTGGCCTTATTAGAAAAAGTCAGTGCAGGGAAACATTCATTGGCAGGAGATACTATCAACCTATCATAAATAATAGCCTTCAGATTATTATGTAAATAACAGGCAAGATCATTATCCAGAACCCTTAATGAATAACTGTACCATTAACTTTTACTGGATGAAGACAGACCCCACTGACTTGCAAGTATTTCATGGGCACGAGTACAAAGGATTAGCTCTTTAGCATGATAAAAAAATAGATAACCAGTTATGAGATGGATAAAAAAATAGATAACCAGTTATGAGATGAAACAGAAAAGATAAGATTGAGTATAAGGAATCATTGAGAAAACATTGAGGCTATTTGATCAGGATGAGATTTGCCAACAAATGCTCTAATACCTTATAGCTTTAATCATTAAGCTAGAATAGAAAGTATATTAATGGGAGCTATCTTATCTTGAGAGAGCATACAGGATGAGACTATAACAGGCTATCACCACTCTTTCCCAGCATGTTTCCTTAGTGCTTATCAAGGTCATCGGTAGAAGTCAAGAGTCCTTAACTGCATGGGACACGTGTCTTTTAAAACTGGTTCAGCCAGATAAGAAAATGTAGATATAAGAACCATCAGTGAACATTCTTAAATGCTTTTATGGATCTGTTTTTATTTCAAAGAACAATGAATGTATGCGCAAAAGCATTTCAGTTTTGTGAGTTGCAAAGCAATCATTGCTCTTTGATTTACCAGTACTTGCCTGTTACAGATATTGATGAGTGCCAGACCCGAAATGGAGGTTGTGACCATTTCTGCAAAAACACAGTGGGCAGTTTTGACTGTGGCTGCAAAAAAGGATTTAAGTTATTAACCGATGAGAAGTCTTGCCAAGGTATGTGCTAAAATTATAGCTGTGTTGTTACAGTGCCCTCTGGTTGGAAGAGACAAGATGGACCCCCCCCCCAATGTGGTAGAGACAGGCTCACCCTGCTTCCTGACTCTAATCAGCTTCCTTCACTAATCCAGCCTCCAACTTGGGTTAAGGTATATTTTGGAAATTAAGCTATTAATGATTAGAGAACACTTCAGAGAACCCATGAGGCATGATTACAACAGAGTTGGCTGCTTAGAACTGGAACAGAATGAAAATAGGGTTGCATTGGGGGAGGGGGAGCTAAGATTATAAATAATTTTCCTTTTCTAAAAATTCTTTGAATGGCATTGAATGTATGAAAAAATTGGTGGCAAAAATCTGTAGATTTAGATAACACACTTTCCTAACAAAAAGTTGAGGTCAACTCATGTTCAAGAATATGAACCAGTTGACCTCTCTACCTTGTAGTTTTTTGAATAACCAGCCTCTGATGCTAGATGAGAGGAGGGACAGAGGAGGAGAGAGATAGGATGGAGAAGAGATGATGCTTGGGCCTTAGTCAGGATCGCCTGTCCATTTAAAAATCCCCACATAAGGGGGAGGGCAGCAAGGAGACCTCCGTGTGCAACTTGGTATTAACAACTGCTGTGGGTGATTGGAAGCTGTTTGGAGGCATGTCATCATTTATATTTTTATTTTTATTTATTTATTTTTTTGTGGGGGTCCAGTAGTGGGGCCTGAACTCTGGGCCTGGGCGCTGTCCCTCAGCTCTTCAGCTCAAGGCTAGCGCTCTACCACTTGAGCCACAGCGCCACTTCCGGCTTTTTTCTTTTTGCTTATGTGGTGTTGAGGAATCAAACCCAGAGCCTCAAGCATGCAGAGCAAGTGCTCTACCACTGAGCCACCTTCCCAGCCCTCATTTATATTTTTAGATGAGCACCATGTATGTTCTACTGATGTGCAAGAAGAAGCTGTCTGGAAAGATGGGCTATCCTTTATCTTGTTTCTGAGAATGAAGACAACTTTATTTTTTTTTCTTTTTAGGAATCTTAGCATTAGCTCAAAATCATAACATAAAATCTGATATCTTAAATAATAAAAATACAGCATTGAGCCACGTGCTGGTAACTTAAACCTGTAATCCCAGCTACTCAGGAGTCTGAGATCTGAAGATCACAGTTCAAAGCCAGCCTGGGCAGGGAAGTCTGAGACTCTTATTTCCAATTAACCATCTAAAACCTGGAATTGGAACTGTGACTCAAAGTGGTAGAGCACTAGCCTTGAGTAAACAACTCAGGGACAGTGCCCAGGTCTTGAGTTCAAGACCCATGACCTACAGAAAACAAAAACAAACAAATGAAAACCAATCCAGCATTGTATTTTTGTTTTGCTTTGTTTTGCTAATCCTAGGGCTTGAATCAGGGCCTGGACACTGTCCTTGAGCTTCTTTTGCCCAAGGCTAGCACTCTACCACTTGAGCCATAGCACCAATTCTGGCTTTTTCTGTTTATGTGGTACTGAGGAATTGAACCCTGGGCTTTATGCATGCTAGGCAAGCACTCTACCACTAAGCCACATTCCCAGCCCCAGCATTGTATTTTTTTTAACTTTATAGTATAAGTGAGAGTTTTCTTTCCTCTTGATTTATTCTTCTTAATAAATAATTTGCCAGGCAATTCAAATATACTTTATGTTATGGATTGGGTTTTTCTTTCCTCGTGGTTTGTTCTCCTTAATACATAATTTGCCAGGCAATTCAAGTATATTTTCCTTTAAATCCACTGAGCTCATTCTAAAAGATTATTTCATGGTTTTCTTCAGTTTGACTTGGAAAGCAAATTTGCTGTTCCACATAATGTATAGAGCCAGCAATATATTTAAGCTGTGTAAACACATTAAAAAGAAATTAGGAAAGTGATCTCATTATTTTTGGCAAAGCAAGCACTCATGGTGAACAGCCAAAGTCAGCTACTGAATGCGTCCACTTTCTCAGCAACTGGCTGATATTAATAACAGATTCCATAGAATAGCATCAATTAACAGGAAAGAAACTGACTTTTGCTCATTTTTTAGTGATCAGTTTTAGTAAAACAAATATTTGCACAGGAGAAATTTACTGAAGAAATTTCCAGGGTTTCTGGGAAAAGCTAGGAATGAAGAGGTTTTGCAAGAATTTGCCCTTTTTATTTTGCTTTTTCATTCTTCCTGATCCATCCAAATATTTGTGCTTTTATTAATGTAGCTTCTTGTAGCACATTCAGTGTTGGAAAAGTGGTTTAGCAATGATCTTGTTGGCTTCCACTGAGTGTTGCACTGGTTCTGGCCTATCCATTTGGAGCCACGAGTTGTAACTGTTAAAATCCTCTGAAGAGTTGAGGCAGTGACACACTGAAATTCTAATCTGCAGGAAAGACATGAGGGCCAGATCAGGGAAGAAAACAGGATCAGACAGATGATGTATATGTAATTTACATATAGCCAACTGTGCATCCAACTGAAGGAGGATGACAGGCATGTGGGCTTGTACCATGGTAGGAACAAAACTAAGAGATGACTGTGGAGCAGTTGAGAGCTTAGCCATCTAATTTCAATGTCTGCTATAGAAAATTACTAAAGACAGCAACGTCCTCAGATGCTTTTAATGCAGAGGGCATTAAAATCCAGGCTTAAATACCAGTCAGCAACTGATGTTTATTATAAACCTCTCCATCCACCCATCAGAACTGGCTTCTTCTTTTGACAATTACAGATGTAGATGAGTGCTCTTTGGATAGGACCTGTGACCACAGCTGCATCAACCACCAGGGGACATTTGCTTGTGCTTGCAATTTAGGGTATACTCTGTATGGCTTCACCCACTGTGGAGGTGAGTGGGTGCCCCTTGAGGGTGAGGCTGGAGGAAGCAGTGTTCTCTCTGAGTTTTATTTTCCTACAGTGGGGTGAAAGATACATTTCTGTCCATTGGCTCAAGGGAAACCCGTGCTGAATGTTCTCCTAGAACACATTAAGGATGGAGCAGGGAGGAGCTGGGCTCCATTTGCTGTGGTTTTATAAGTTGACTTTATTGACTTGCAGTTGTATTCCAAGAACTGAAGTGTGTCTCAGAGCTGAGACCTTATCTACCAGGTTTTCCCAGAAGATGGTATAGTCCTCAGAGAGTGTTGGTAGGGCACCTCTAAATTCAGGGCCCTCTTGTGAATGGGCCATGTTTACAAAGTCTTGGCTCAAGCCCCAAAGATTTTGGAGCAAGAAGTGAAAAGAATCAAGTTACTCCCTCCACTCTCAGTCCATTTAGCAATAAATCCTTCGATCTTACAACCTTATGATTGAGAAGGCTGTGGCATAAATCAGAATTGATGTCAAGTGATTTGCATGCCACTCTCTTGTCCATCAGACCACTCAATATTCAGAACCATAATCACTGAGAATGCTGTTCCCTGCTCCAGTTAACTGTCCAGGGCCTCCAAAGTGATTGTAAGGATTTGAAGTATGTAGAACCACCAATTGGAATACTTCCTGCTCTTCTCATGTCCTGAGCTTAAGCAGAATGGATAGTTGTGCTTTGTTATAGATTGAGTTGTCCCCCTTCTCCACACATCTCCAGCATGGCTAAAAACACACTCTACCAAGAAATCCCAATGAGAAGGGACCATTATGACGTGAATCTGGATTTAGGTAGCACCACCTTCTCAGGTTGATGGGGACAGTGTACACCATTTCCCTTCTTTGTATCTCACCTGTGGAAATGGTCAGATCTGAAGTTTTTATTCTAGCTGTCTGTCTCCCTTGCTGTGGAGCCCACAGATGTTAGAGTTTTAAACTAGAAGTCTATTCATTGTCTGAGTTTGAACATCTGAAAGTACAGTGTGGTTGGTCCCTTCTGTGTGTCTAGGGGGCAATGAATGGAACTTGAAGTCTCCCTAGCATACGTCAGTGGGGAATGGGATGTGGAACTAGCCAGCACTAAGTGCACACTGTGAAAGTCAAGGTCAACCGTGTGTGTGTGTGTGTGTGTGTGTGTGTGCCCCCTTCCTTAAGGGAGGATGGGTCAGCCCATGATATGCTACTGTGACAGGGGGCCATTTTGCTCTACAGATACCAACGAGTGCAGCATCAACAATGGGGGCTGCCAGCAGGTCTGTGTGAACACGGTGGGCAGCTACGAATGCCAGTGCCATCCTGGGTATAAACTCCACTGGAATAAAAAAGACTGTGTGGGTAAGGGGCGCCAGCCTATTGCGTGGGGCAGACCCAGCTATGGGGCTCACTGGGGGGCAGAGAGTTCATGGCTCTGGGAGCTCTCATGTCCCACGGGGCCTGAACCTACCTCACTTTCTCCACTGAGCTCTCCTCCCCTCCGTCCCTGGCAGCAACTGCTCTTTAAAGAGTTTAAAAACAGGAGATACTTTGCAGGCTCTTTAGCATTTCTTTCTGTGCTTCTGCATAGGTTGACATTCCCTTCTGTTTTCCTGGTTGTTTTTCTGCATGAATACATAGCAGAAGGGAGCTTTTTAACCTTGGTGGGATATCAGGCCTGGCATCTGTTCTGTCTAGGTGTCTGCCTCTTTTTCTTGAGGCTTTTGGTATGTAGGATTCTGCCCTCCTTCTCCCAGTTGGAAATGTATTTCTCTTCCATAAGTTTCTATGTTTTATTCTATCTAGAAGTGAAGGGGCTCCTACCCACTAGTGTGTCACCCCACGTGTCCCTGCACTGCAGTAAGAGTGGTGGAGGAGACAGGTGCTTCCTAAGATGTCACTCTGGCATTCACCTCTCTTCAGGTGAGTGGGGCCCAGTCCCTAGGCAGAGATTCATGCCAGGGCCAGGCCTTGCCTGGAGGTATTAGATGCCCTCAAAGGGATTTCAGGTCACTGGCCAGATACCAGAACCCAGGCTTTGCGAGGCCATGTCATGGGCTCTTCTCTAGTGAAGTTGGGGGGGGGTGATTTTAGCTACTACCAGAATAGCCTGTAACTTGCTTACTCATTTGAAAACCCACATTCTGTCTGTCAGGACTGCAAGAGGCCTATTCTGTCACCTGCGGCTCTTCCTCTCCTCCCAGGAACAAACAGCAAAAAACAAATGACTCAGCTTTTGGGGGTAATTACCAAATCCGTATGACCTCTCTGGAACTTATTGTGTGCAGTGGACTTCATTAGTGGGGCTCTCCGGCACTGGCTTTGTTTTCTTTCTTCCTAATCTCAATGCTGTGAGCATGTTACGAGGTGCTTTTGCCTGTAACCATGGTGCCTGAAATCTGACTCATCTGTGTAACAGATGTATTCTGAGTGCCCACTGTGTGCTCCAAGGCCCTGTTCAGCCACAGTGGGTCATCGTATTGGATAGAGCCTCACAGAGCTCTGGAAACAGGAGACTCAGGTCTCCTAAATTCCTGCACCTCAGAGCACCTCAAAGGCCCAGCAGAAATGTGCCTGGGAGCTGAGTATTGGTGGGTCATGCCTGTAATCCTAGCTACACAGGAGGCTGAGATCTGAGGATCATGGCTCAAAGCCAGCCCAGGCAGGAAAGTCTGTGAGAACCTTCTCTCCAATAAACCACTCAGAAAAAGCCAGAAATAGAGCTGTGTGGCACAAGTGGTAGAACACTAAAGAAGCCCAGGGACAGCATGCAGGCCCTGAATTCAGGCCCCGGACTGGAAGAAATAAAGAAAAAAATGTGCCTGGGGCACATGCTACTGATGCAAACTGGTCTAGGCAGAACAGGAAGAGCAAGGTCCTGTCTCAAGAAAGGGCCCAAACCCTTTCTAGTTTGTCAAAAGAAATCCAAAATGTTCAGAAGATCTTGTTTTCTTAGATGCACACACACTTGGCTATTATGTCATGAGAATAAATGTCTGAAGAAGGCCCACATCACATCTTGATGTACATGTCACATAGCTGTGCCAAGCAGAGACTCAAAGCAAGCCTGTAGCTGAGCAATTAGAATATGCCAGCCATCATATTGCATGTATGGATTTAATCCACATGACAACTGAATCAATTTTATTATTATCCTCATTAATCACACAGAGAAATGGAGTCTTGATGAGGTGAAATAACTTACTCAGAATGACTCAGGTTAAAAACAGATGAACCGGGTTTGAATCCAGACAGTCTGGATTCAGAGCTCTTTCCTCTACTGACATTTTTATGAATGAAAATGAACCAAGCCAGAGAAAACAACCTGGTGTATAAAATCAAATCTCAGTGATGATTCCTTGGTGATCTGGGATTCCCCAAGAGTAGATGAGCACATAGTTCAAAGTTACCCAGTTCTGTCTATGTACTAGGCAGTAGGCTAAGCTCTCTCTCTCTCTCTCTCTCTCTCTTTCTCTTTCTCTCTCTTTCTCTCTCTCTCCTCTCTCTCTTCTCTCTTTCACTGCATTATACCAATTATTTTCCAGTTCAGATGAGAAAACTGAGGTGGGAGATTAAGGAAATTGCTTAAGTTCTTACCACAACACAAAGAGCTGGAATTCCAATCTAGGTCATGAGCTCCAGAACCTAAAATAGAATTAACACTGATTCTGGAAAGAGAACAACATCCCTTCAAAGTGGGACCCTGGCTGTCTCTCAGACCCTGAAAATCCTAACCACATCTTATAGAGGAAGCTTCCTCAGCCCTGCCCTCTCCCCAACCCCAGGTATACAAACCTTCCCTTTCTTTCCATTTCCTTCAAGTTTTACCCACACTTGAGCTAAAGGACACTTAGCCTTCCTTCTCAGGAAGACACAAGAATGACCTCATCTTTGATCTCACTGCTTTGGGATCCTCTTTTTATTATATTTGAACATTCGATTTATCTGTCCCATGAGTGGATAAGAATAACTCTGAAGAGACTATAGGTGTCCTCAGTGCTTAGGGTAATGGGCACTTCAGGATCCAAACATTTCTTGGTCTCAGGTAAGAGATGTATGGAGGGATCCAATCAATGGCTAGCTCACCAATACTCTCCTAGTGTTTCCATTCCTTTGCCTCTGAAGATAACTTTTCTTACTTATTTCTTTCTGAAGATGTTGCCACCATCAGGACAAGTGTAACATTTAAACTAAATGAAGGCAAGTGTAGTTTGAAAAAGGCTGAGCTGTTTCCTGAGGGTCTGCGACCAGTACTACCAGGTATGGAACCAGATGGCTGGTTAAGTAGGAAGCATCCTTGCCATGTGGGAAAGGGGCTTGTGACATGCGCACTGATGGCAGACTCATATGCACTTAGGATGAGATGCAACCATTTAGTATTCCTAGGACTTTGTTTGTTAGAGGAAGCAGAGCTGGCTTTGCACATTTGTACAATTCGGGGTCACTTGGAGGGAGGCTTCCTTCATGATGTAGTTGGTGAAGCTCTTGAGAAACATGTGAGTTCACAGGAGTCAGTAAGGGCTTAGAAAAAATTAGCAACTTATGGTCATGTTGGGTTGAATTTTCTAGGTCTTAGCAGTTTGAAATCCAAGCCAAAGAAATGAAAAAAAAAGGGGGGATTTGGCTCAGAAATGATAACTTTGATGAACAAAGATGTAATGTCTAGCATTCCTGCTGGTCTAGTATTTTGGAAGCTGTGACTTCATTGGCTTCAGCAAAATGAAAACCTTCCAAGTGTAACTGACCTTATTGAAACAGCAGAACCTCGTCCTCTTCTTTCTTCCTTAGCTCACATTTCCAATATATTTCAGATGATAATTTTAGAGATTAAAACAAAATCAAGGTTTCATGTATCATTCTTTCCTTAATCTGCTCTCAAACCATACAACTAAGCATAAGGCTCTGTAGTCACTGTTTTTTGCATGCCAGTGGGGCCTGACCTCAAGGCCTGGGCACTGTTCCTCAAGTCTGGCACTCTTACCACTTGAGCCATACCTCCACTAATGGCTTTTTGGTAGTTAATTGAAGAGTCTCACAGACTTTTCTACCTGGGTTGGCTTCAAACAGTGATCCTCAGATCTCAGCCTCCTGGATAGCTAGGACTCTAGTCATTTGTGACTATTAAGCTCATTCTTGGTACCTCCATTTGATGGAATTTTATCCAGCTATTGACTATATTTATTCAAAGAATATTTAATGACATAGAAAAATGTTCTTGTTATATTACTAAGAAGGAAAAAGTGGTAGTAAAAATATTACTAATACAATGCAAATTGTGTATGGAAACATGAAGTAGAAAAGGATCTCATTAGTAGAGGATATAGTTGATGGGTGAATTTTACTTTTTTTCTGCATTTTCCACTTTTATACTTTTTTTTTGTCAGTCATGGGGCTTGAACTCTGGGCCTGGGTGCTGTTCCTGAACTCTTCAGCTCAAGGAAAATATTCTCCCACTTGAGCCACAGCGCCATGGACTTTCCTGCTGGGGCTGGCTTTGAACCCTGATCCTCAGTTCTCATCCTCCTGAGTAGCTAGGATTACAGGCGTGAGCCACTGGAGCTCAGCTTAAACTTTTAAATTTGGAGGAAAGTGCTATTTTAAAATGTATTTGGGGGCTGGGGATATAATTCAGTCAGAAGATGCTTGCCCACCATGTGCAAGGCTCTTAGTTTGATCGCCAGCACCAAAATCCAACCAACCAACCAAAAAAAAAAAAAAAAAGCAAAATTTGATCAGAAGATTACTTAACGGGATTGTACCAAATTCTAACTTTTTAGTTTTGATAAATTTGCTGTTAATGTAACATGTGAACCTTAGAGGAAACAGAGTAACTATTATCAGTATATCAGAGTATCTATTATCAGTATCTTAGCAACTCTTCTATAAGTTACTTCAAAATATCAGTGGCAGTGGCTCATGCCTGTCATCTTAGCTACTTGGGAGATTGAGATTGGGAGAACTGGGGTTCCAGCACAGGCCAGGGAAGAAAAGCCAGAGAGCCTTCATCTCAGTAGGGACTCTGGGCATGGTAGCAAACATTTGTCATGTTGACTACAATAGGAAGCAAAAAGTAGGAGGTTTGTGGAACAGGCATGTGCCCGGGCAGGAGGCAAGACCTCCTCTCTGTGGGGAGTAAAATGTTTCTCTCTTCTTCTATTTCTCCCTGCTTTAACCCCACTATACTAAAAGCTTTATTTTAAAAAGAACAAAAAGGTAATCAGTGTAAAAAGGATGAGAGGCTGCTTAGCACTTGTGGGTCACACCTGTAATCCTAACTACTCAGGAGGCTGAGATATGAGGATCAAGGTTTGAAGACAGTGTTTTGGCAGAAAAATCTAAGAGAATCATATCTCCAGTTAACTAGCAAAAATCTAGAAGTAGAGCTATAGCTTAAGTGGTAAAGTTATAGCCTTGAGCAAAAAATGCTAAGAGCTAGAGGCTCTGTTCAAGTCCAAGTATCACACTCATACACACACAAACACACACACACACACACACACACACAGAGGATAAAAGATGTGACTCAGTAAAGTCCCTGCCTATCAAGCAAGCATAAGGCCCTCAGTTTGAACCCCTGCACCACCCAGAAAGAAAATGTTTTGAAAATAGATGGAAAAAAATTAAAAATGAATATCAGTTTTAAGATTTGAAGTCAGCTGTTTGAAAAGGCAGAAATAGATCTGTGAGAGAAAATATAGAAAGGAAACACATTTGCTTCTTTCCTTTGGCCTCTGATTATTGGTTGCTCAGAACATACTTGCAATAGTAAGGAAGAATGTAATATAAATAATTCTTCAATTCAGTAAGGTAGGATTTTAAAATAGAGACAAACTGATTTTGTGGATATGGGGACCTGCTTTTTGGTTCAGTTTGGTCTGGTTTGTTGACAATCCTTAGTCATCAGATTCACTGGAAGTCATGAGGAAGAAGAGAAAGCCAAAGTCAGGCCAGAGCTGTGCAAAGCCCTGTCTTGCATCTTACTAAACATTCTGCTATCATCATAGATGGATTCATAGTACTGTCTTGTTCTGTTGATTCTTTATTTTTTGGCATTGATGCTGGGTCTTGAATTCAGGGCCTTGAGTTTTTGCTTAGTTATTTCTTTTTTTTTTTTCCCCTCAATGCAAAAAGTGGAGCCACAGCTCCACATCCAGCTTTGTGCTAGTTACTTGGAGATAAGAGTCTCATGTACTTTTCTGCCCAGGCTAACTTTGAACTTGATCCTCAATTTCAGCCTCTTAAGTAGCTAGAATTACAGATGTGAGCCACCAGCGCCTGACTCTGTTGACGCTTCATGTTATTTATCATTCCTGCTTATTTGAAAAGAGACACATCACTGTTGATGTGTTTTCCAGCTCGCCCTTTTTGTTGGAATTGCACCAAGAACCATTTGCCTAAAAGCAGGAGTGAGTTTCCTTTCTGCTGCTGCCTTCATACCCTGTTTGAAGCCTCAACCCCTGCTTTGGGTCATTACAGCCCAGCTTTAGGAAAACCAACTGCGAGAACACACATGCTCCTCAGGAACACCACTGGCAGGGAATATGTCTTCCATCTCTATGCTGGTCAGTCAGAAACACACCCAGCCTTTACCCATGAAAAGAGTTTTCAAGCATCAGCTTATAAAGTTATATAGGAGGCAAACTGGCTCTTCAAAAGGAACATGTCATCAGGCTTCAAGCTGCGGGGTGGGGGGAGGGATGGGGACTTGCAGCGGCTCGGCATGTGGAGTTCATCATGTCATCCCTGGAGAATTATTTTAATGAAATGTTTACTGAGCTCTAGCGAATGTTCAACTGAGTGCTTTGCCAGGACTTGGCTTCCGATAACTTTGTTTCTCCATACAGAGAAGCACAGCTCAGTAAAAGAGAGTTTCCGCTACGCAAACCTTACATGCATCTCCAGCAAGCAAGTCCCGGGAACCCCTGGCCGACTGAGTGCCCCTAAGGACATGTTTATCACTGTTGAGTTTGAACGTGAAACTTATCCAAAGGAGGTGACAGGTTGGTCTGAAAGGCGTCTAAGTGGCCAGGCTTCTCTCACAGGTTTCTCGTTTTGTCTTTGCCTTTCATTTTTCATCATTCCTGGGGATGGAAGGGCGGGTGGCAGTTGTTAAGACAAACACTGAAGTATCTCCTGTTTTATTATCACACACATACACCCACCCACCCACCTACATTGAATTGATTTTCACAACCTAATGGTTTTCTCTTCTTCATCAAAACCCAAAACTCCCATTTGGGTTCACAAATTTGTGTTTAAATCAAGTGCTGCCCAGCCTGCTAGGTGTCTACCTCCAGATCTCTCCCCTTCCCTTAACCCAGGGTGGGTCCCGTGGCTGGTTTGGACACCCTAGCACGCTGCGGCTTGACTGCTGTCCCTTGCTCCTGTCCCTCTTGTCTCGGTAGCTTCTTGTGATCTGAGCTGCCTGGTGAAGCGGACAGAGAAGCGGCTGCGGAAGGCCATCCGCACGCTCAGGAAGGCTGCTCACAGGGACCAGTTGCACCTCCAGCTCTCAGGCATGGACCTCGATGTGGCTAAAAAGTCTCCCAGAACATCTGAACAGCGGGCAGAGTCCTGTGGAGGGGACCAGGGCCATGCGGAGAACCAGTGTGGTGAGTAGTCAGGCCATTCTTGTGATAGATCTGCTTTAAGCTCTATAGACACTAAACATCACTTCCTTCTGGATCACAATCTGAATGTCCTTTCTCATCTGGTAGCTGTCATACCATGTCCACGGTGCCTACTAGACCAGAAGTTGCCTGGGGCTAGCTTGAGTGTGCCTGACTTGTGGTGGGCACTGAAGTCAGTAATTATTGACCTGAAGGACAGAAGGGAAGAGGCAGGGTTAGAGAGAAGAAGGACGCTGCTCTGTGAAGCTCTGAGAACCTTCAGATCACTGTTCCCAGGCTTGGGCAGGACCCGGGGCTATGAGGCGACCCCAAGTCTTATCCATATTTTATCATCACCATTCCTGTCAGCCATCTCTCTTTGGCTTGACTCTTGGTGGAAATAAATAACTTTCTGTACATAGTTTTGTGCAGGAGACAAAACTGGAGGCTAATCAGGTGCCTTGTGAGATCCCTGATTCAGGCCAAGGCTCCTCGTAGCATCAGTTATGTGCTATATTGGGGTGTGTGTGTGTGTGTGTGAGAGAGAGAGAGAGAGAGAGAGAGAGAGAGAGAGCGTGAGAGAGAATTTCAGAGAAAATTTCAATTCTGTATATTAGATAAATCCAGCAAGTGGTTTCACAACAAAATTTCTACTGGTCTGTTTTAGTTTTGGTTTGGTGGTTTGTTTGTTTGTTTTGGGGTCCGGTCATGGGGCCTGAACTCTGGGCCTGGGCACTGTCCCTCAGCTCTTCAGCTCAAGGCTAGCGCTCTATTGGTGTGGTTTTTTAGGGGTGAGTTTTGAACTTTGTTGTGAGAGACTATTCCGGGCAATTGTGGAAGATACTACCCAAAAGTTTTAGATTGGAAAAGCTGGGGGGGGTCTCAATTTATAGAAATATTGGTCATTTATTGAGTACTTATCTATTAGAAGCCACAGCATAGAGCTCTGTCTCTGCATTAGCTTATTTAATTCTAATGTTGACCTTACCAGGTAGGGCTGAGAGAAGCTCAGAGAACTAAGTTCCCTTGCTCAAGATATTATTGATACAATTCAAAAACCTGTACTCTGGTCTCAAGTAATGTAAAGTTCGATAACTAGTCCCCTCCAGGAGAAATAGATGTCTTTTCTGAAGTGTTAATAGAATCATGAGGCCAAAAAAGTGAGATTAAGTGGGAGTAATAAGTCAATGTTTCTGAATAAGCAGAGCCATGCCCAGCTTAGATCCGAAGAATTGTCACCAGCAGTGCCACAGTTCCAATCTGTTTCTTCACCAAAGCTTAGTGAGAATCAGGTATAACTGTACCCAAGAGGCTGTTTGCAGGATAGTTTCAACTTTTTTTTTTCCTGGGTCAGTCCTAGGGCTTGAATTCACGGTCTGGGCACTGTTATGGGGCTTTTGTGCTCAAAGCTAGTTCTCTACCACTTGAGTCACAGCTCCATCTTGAGCTTTTTTATTGGGTAATTGGAGATAACAGTCTCCCAAACTTTCCTGCCAGGTCTTGCTTCAAACTGCAACCCTCAGATCTCAGCCTTCTGAATAGCTAGGATTATAGGCATAAGCCATCAGTGCCTGGCTAATTTTGACTTTTAGTCCAGCTGATTTTGTTAACTAAAGGAAGATAAAGATAGTGAAGAACAGGAGAAGGAGGAAGGAGAAGAGGAGGAAGGAGAAGGAAGAAGTGGAGGAGGAGGAGGAGGAAGAGAGTTGGTTCGTTCTCATTTAAAATTTTAAGACCTGGCACTGGTAGCTCATACCTGTAATCCTAGCTACTCAGGAGGCTGAGATCTGAGGATTGTGGTTTGAAGACAGCCTAGGCAGAAAAGTCCCAGTGAGACTCTTAACTCCAATAAACTACTCAAAAAAAAGCTGTTAAGTGGCTCTGTGGTTCAAGTGGTAGAGTGCTAGCCTTGAGCACAAAGAGGCTCAGGACAACACCCGAGCCCTGAGTTCGAGCCCCAGGACCAGCAGAAAAATAAAATAAAACAAATAAAAAATTCTAAGAGTTCCAGATTTCTTATCTTACCAAAATGGTTGTGAGAGCTGGCTGTGACTGCCCTACTTTCTAGGGTGAGTTAAAGAAACTGTCTGAGCAGGCAAACCTTCCTTCCAATCTCTCTGAATTAAATTGCACTCACCTTGCTTTCCTGTTAGGATGAAGCTTTGCAGATTCATCCAGCAGTCTGTCTGGCTAGTTTAAAAAAAAAAAAGGACAAAGGAAAACGTAGTAAAGGACAGCAGACCCATCCAGGGAGACTGTTACCAGTACTGCAGGGAGCAAAAGCCCAGAATAAGGAACAGGAGTTACCTTCAAGAGCGTCATGACCCTGACAGCCTGTGGTGGGCAGAGGACAGAGGGCTACGTCACTGTTGTATGTGAATGTGTTCCGGAGATGCCTGTCATGCTCAGTTTGGTGGATCCGTGTCAGAGAAGCAATATGTCTTCTCTCAAGAGCTCCCCCTAACACGAGATGAATGTAATAGCCCACATGGGACCACATCAAGTCTACCCCATCTGACAGAAATGATTAACATTTTACTGTGTAGGGATTACTAGTAACATTGCTTCTTTCTGCTATGATTATATAAATTAGAAGGGATTTTTACCCAGAAGGCACATGGTGATGGTGGTAGTGGGGTGTGTGTATGTGTGTTTTGTTTGTAGTTTACGTGGTGTTTTCTGAACTTGTATATACAATGGACACAAGCTTACAAGAGTTCTTGGTTCAGTGTCTGTTGTTCTTGTTACTATAATGAAGTAAGGGGAGTTGTGTAGCATTTTTTTTAAGGAGGTTTATGGTGGTTCATGGTTCTGGTGATTCAGTTAATGGGCTTCATCTGGTGATAGCTTTCTCCCTACCTCTCTCTCTCTTTCCTTCCCTTCCTCCCTCCACCCCCCCCCCCTGCCTTGTGGTGCTTGAACTCAGGACCTGGGTGCTGTCCCTGAGCTTTTTTCACTCAAGGCTAGCAGTCTACCACTTTGAGCCACAGCTCCACTTCTGGTTTTTGAGTGGTTAATTGGAGATAAGAGTTTCACAGGGGGAAAAAAAAAAGAGTTTCACAGGGACTTTTCTTCCTGGGCTGGCTTCAAACTGCAATCTTCCTGAGTAGTATTAAAGGCATGAGCCACCAGCCCCCAGCTCCCCCCCCTCTTTCTCCCTCCCTTTCTTTTTTTTCTCTCTCCCTCACTTCTTTTCTTTTCTCTTTCTTTCATTCTCTTTTTCTCTTTCTCCTTTTCTCTCTTTCTCTCTCTCTTCTTTCCTTACTTTTTTTTTTGTTAGTTTCTGGGCCTGGGCACTGTCCCTCAACTCATCAGCTCAAGTCAGTGCCACTTCTGGTTTTCTGGTGGTTTATTGGAGATAAGAGTCTCACGGACTTTGTTTGACTGGGCTGGCTTTGAACCATGATCCTCAGATCTCAGCCTCCTGAGTAGCTGGGATTATAGGCGTGAACCACTGATGCCCGGCTTGCTTCTTCCTTTCTTTCTTTCTTTCTTTTTCTTTCTCTCTCTCTTTCTTTCTTTCTCTCTTCTTCTTTCTTTTTCTTTCTTTCTGTCTCTCTTCTTCTTTCTTTCTTTCGTTCTTTCTTTCTCTCTGTCTGTCTGTCTATCTTTCTTTCTTTTCCCAGTACTAGAGCTTGAACTCAAGTCCTGGGTACCTTAGCTTTTTTGCTCAAGAGTAGTGCTCTATCACTTGAACCACAGCTCATGTCTGGCTTTTGGGTGTTTGACTGGAGATAAGAGACTCATGGGCTTTCCTGTCCAGGCTGGCTTTATGATTCTCAGATCTCAGCCTACTTACAGTCATGAGCTACCGGTATCCCACTCTGTGGTTTTTGAGGGCTTTTTCCCACCCCCATTTATTTTGCAGTGCTGGGGATCAAACCAAGAACCTTGCAATACTAAATAAGTGCTCTACCATTGAGTTACATGAACATCTATATTTTTAAGACATCTGTGTATATTAGACTTACACCTGTTATTAAAATTGAAGTTATTCCTAATTTTTCTGTTATACACAGGGCACTTATTAATATCCTTTTTTGTGTACATGCCATTATATATAAGGCTAGACTATAAATGCTGGGTCACAGAACTTTTCTATGAAAAACATTAAGATATTGTCAAATCACCTTTCAAAAACCAATATCAGTGTGTACTCCCCAACATCATATTTCAGTGTTTATTGACCCACATCTTGCTAATATGAATTTTTCACTTAGATCCTTTAAATTTTTGCAAAACGGAGAAGCAAACGTCTTTTTTAAAAGTGATTTCAGCTTTCTTTCTTTTGATTATCATTATTAGTGAGCATGTTGTCTTGTTTTTGTAGTCATTTGGATTTTTTCTGAAAGTATCCATAGTTTCTTTCTATTTTCCCATTGAATTATTTATCTTTCTAACATCATTAAAAAATAAATAAAATTTAGTCAGGTTCCCGATAGTTCATGCTGATAATCCTAGCTACTCAGGAGGCTGAGATCTGAAGACTGTGGTACAAAGCCAGGAAAGTCTGTGAGACTCTTATTTCCACTAAAATTACCAAAAAAGCCATAATTAGAGCTGTGTCAAGTGGTAGGGTGGTAGCCTTGAGCAAAAAGATTCTCAGTCTTTGACTGTCCCTCAGCCCCAGACTGGCACACACACACACACAAATAATTAAACTCCCAAATTGCTTTTTGTTCAGATAATTGTACAAGGAGCTTTCAATTTAACATGTTAATTTATATGTAAAGGCATCTTGATCAGAGTTACCTGTACCATCACCCCGCACTTTCTCATCTCCACCTCTCTTATCAAGTTTCTTAGTTTCATTTTCATACTGTCATTGAGTATTATGACTGTATTCATCCACCATTCCACCTTCCATTTGTCTATCCCTTCTCCAGTTAGCACCACGGCCCACCCTAGTCAAGACATGTTTCAATAAAGTTTCAGATGTTATCAAAGAAAATAATTACTTCTGATCAAACTTGGAACTTTCTTATTGTCGTTTGTGCATAATG